GAAGTAGATCCTCAAAATAAGCCACTGGTTCAATAAAATATTTTCAGAGCAAGAAGTTCTAGAGTTTATTCTGTATTCCCATACTGACCATCTACTTCTTTACCAGAATAAATGCAATTATCTAGCTAACTGATGGTTTCCAAAGAGGAATCCATTAAGAAATAAGTTTTGATCCAGTAAAAAAAAAAAATACTTAAATGTAAGTGTTTTCAGGATACACAAAGGAGATAAAACTCTTGTTTTTTACATAACACGTAGGATGTTGTGGGCCTGAGACAGCAGCATTGCTCAGCTCTCAGGTAATCTCTATACCTCACCGATAAAATTCCTCCTGAATAGTGGTAGAGAGCTGCTGGTTGAACTGCTCCAAATCCGCAAAGCTTACGATCAATGTGTTCCGCTCTGGCCGAATCAGTTCTTCAGCATCATGCAAGTATTTGACCTCCCCATCGCTGTTCTGGAACCTAAAAGTGATTCAGGAAAACATGTCACAGTTACATAGCAGGCTGCAGCTGAATACTTCTGAATTCGGGAGAGAAAGAGCAGAAAAGGATCGCACACGTTAAGGAGCGTGCAGGAGAATAACGGCACCCCACAGTCCCTTGCAAACGTCTTTTCCAACATTTCTCCTCCCGCCCCCCTTCCTGCATCTGTTCTGTGAACACCCCAGCACAGGCACACTGGATTTGCATTTTACACAGCTCGTCTGCCACACAGAACTTTATTTAGGGTTTAACAACGCCTCTGCACCAGCACAACGGGGTTTGTTTTGTGTTCCTCGGGGTGATGCTAGCGGTTTCCCCTGTCTGCTGCTGAAGGGTCCGTCGGGAGACAAAATGCAGGGAGTCAGACGTACTGAGGTGTAACAACCAAGCCACAAAAAGGGGTTTTCACCCTGGCTGTGACAAAACTTTGTTAAAAGGGGCCGAATGCGCCTCACAAAGCCCCATCGACAGCTGCCTGGGCAGGGTTTTGCCAGCCAGGGGAGCACGGCGCTCCCTTCCTACGCCCCTCAGGGCAGAGCAGCGCCTCAGCGGCGGGCCCGGACGAGAGAAGCGCTTTTCTGACTGAAACACGAGGGTTCGGCGCGACAGGCCCTGCCTGGATCTCATCCTCGCCAAATGGCGGCCCCCT